AGACCAGGCTGGCCTTGAACTCACAGAGATCCACCTGCCTCTGCCTCCCGAGTGCTGGGATTAAAGGCGTGCACCACCAATGCTCAGCGTAAGACCCCATCTTTTAAAAAAGGAAGAATGCAAGGATGGAGGAAGGGAGGGAAGAAGGAGGAGAGAAGGAGAAAGGAAAGAAGGGAGGGGGGAGGAAGAGAGGGAGGAAGGAAAGAAGGAGGAAGGAAGGAAGGAAGGAAGGAAGGAAGGAAGGAAGGAAGGAAGGAAGCAAGCAAGCAAGCAAGCAAGCAAGCAAGCAAGCAAGTAAGCAAAAGTGTGTTCTTCACTGCTCCTCTAGTCTTCCCTTACTTTAAAAAGCTAAGATGTAAACAACTGGTCTAGGAGTAGCAGCTCTTACTAGAGTTAGAACACTTTTGTAATATTTGAGTTACTGAACAATATATAACAACCTTCAGAATTTAACAGACATTGACAAATTTCTAGAACAACTCATAATCACTTTGGTCAAGCAATTCAGAGAATTATTCTGAGTAATTTTCCGTTTGCAGTCTCTAGGAATAGCTTCCTGTTTCCAAGGTGGAGCTATCATCATGCCCTTACCCCGGCTCCTGTCCTTCTCATCCTGTATATAACCCTTCACTGAGATGTCCCTCTTTTATTTCCTTCTTTAGACACCTTTTTATGCTAACAGCTCTCTTTTTGGTCTCCCTGGCTCCCAGTTCTCCTCTCTATTACTCATCCTCTTCAACCCATTATGTGTTTACTTCTTTAACCACCTTCTTATAGTTTGCTTCTTATTTTTCTCAGATAGAGTCTTGTTACATAGCTCAAGTCATCCTTGAATTTATGGTGGTCCCTTGCCTTCCAAGGGCTAGGATTATAGAAGTGCATCACTATGCCTGATCCTCGTCCACCTTTCTTTTCTTTCCTTTTCTTTCTTTCTTTTTTTGTGTGTGTGTGTGTGTGTGTGTGTGTGTGTGTGTGTGTGGTTTTTTTGAGACATGGTTTCTCTGTGTTGCAGCTCTGGCTGTCCTGGAACTTGCTTTGTAGACCAGGCTGGGCTTGAACTCTCAGAGATCCACCTGCCTCTGCCTCCTGAATGCTGGAATTAAAGACTGCCTAGCCAAATTTTTCAGTCTATAACTCCTCCTGTTTAAGTATTCATTCACTCATTTATTTAAACAAACTGGAGCTGAACAAACTAGCATATCTGGGTGTTTATACTACTATGACAATGTCAACACACACAAAACTATATAATAATATGGAAATGTACCCAGGTCATTGAGACATGAAGAAAGAAGATGCTAGCAGCGATTCAGAATCTTAACAGCTGTATGTTAAATGGAACCAGAGTTGGTAAAGAAATAAAATATAAGATCCAAGGAAAAGGATGCTAAGTTTCCTAACCTGTGGAACTAGATGAGCGGTGCCATTAACAAGTCCAGGGACATCAGAAGGAAAAAGGCATAGAGGGAGCATGACTGAAGGATGTACTTGCCAAACTCCAGATCAAAGCAAATGATCAAATAATAGATTTCAACACAAAATTTTAGAATCTCTAGGAATGGTGGTTTGAGAGGGCAATGCTATTGAATATCAAACTGAACTGCATCAGAACACACACACACACACACAAACACACACACACACACACACACCTAGGCTACATGCCTTCAGTAGGTACATAAGAAAATGTGGAAATGGCAAATAGCAATCTACTGCCCTACAAAGCTGTTTTCCTCTGGGAAAATTTTAATGGTAGGAGTTTCTATCTGACTTTTTTTCTTTCTTACAATACCTAGCATCTTCATATATCACAGGGACTTTTACTCAAACAGCTTCAGGTATCTTTCTCCATTCTATAGCATCCATGTACTATCAATGGTATATACGGATGATTAATATGCAACTAATTAAATTGCTGCAGATGATCCTTCTGGGTCTTATTGATAAGCTTGGTTCCACAATGCTGAACCTCTGAAGTTATTAAAAGCATCATTAAATGAGGTTGCCACATAGACATCCACTGTCAAGTTAAGACTAACAACTCTCTTCAGAGCAATAGCATAACAGCTGCTTGGTAGACCTAAAATCACACAATCCAATGAACATGCTAAAATTACTGAACCAGATATTTTATATTGGTAAATTGTACAGTATAGAGTAACTCACTAATGCTATAACTTTAAAAATCCACAGCGCCTTAGCAACCCCACCTGAAAACAAAAATCAACAACTATGTTTTAACCAAAATGTTAGTCTCAAGAAACATACATATGCACTAAGTTATTGCTCTTAAATATTTAAACTTCAGCCGGGCGGTGGTGGCGCACGCCTTTAATCCCAGCACTCGGGAGGCAGAGGCAGGCAGATCTCTGTGAGTTCGAGGCCAGGTTGGACTGACAACCTCCAAAACAATACAGAGAAACCCTGTCTCGTAAAACCAAAAAAAAAAAAAATTTAAACTTCTGGGAATTTTATGAAATGGAACCCCTGCTAAATTGGGATGACAAAATGAACTGAACCGTTCTATACCCTTCATTGTAATAGGAGCTGATCTGTTTAACACATCAAAATCTGCCTTAAAGGTCTGATGGCAACTTTTAAAATGGCACTTTTCAGATTTAATCATAATGATGAATATCATAATTACAGCTTGTCAGTAACATGTTTTTTTCCTTGTAATCTATCCACAACTTCCTTCTCTATAATCCTCTGCAAGGAAAAGATACTTGTGTTTATCACTGGCATTTATTCTAATGGCTTCCTTCTTTCTCCTACTTACTTACTTACTACTCGGTTCTCTAGAATCACTCCAACCTTTGGCATATCCAAGAACATCTCCTATCTCCTGCTAACACATCTGCCTGCTGTTGTTAAGGTAACAGAAAGTTACTTATGCCCTTGGAGAATCAAGAACATAAGAAGCAGACTGTGAGCCCTATGAGGGAAAGGACTATGACTTGTCCACTTTTAGAAACTCTTAACATCAGGCCGAGTATTTGGTATACGGGATACTCAATAAATATCTCTGCCTGTCATTAAACTAAGACCCACTCAGAAATCAGCACACAAATAATTATGGAACCAAGAAATTCTTGGGTACATGTGACTTTAGGAGAAAGCACCTTAAATCCCATCCTCAGTTTCAAGTGACTAAATCAACCTGTATCTAGGAGACTAAAAGATGAATTATATTACCCATAAACCTTTGATGGAAACTCAAGACCTTATCATTTAAAAATGGCAACACCTTTCCAATTTTTTTTTTCCTACAAACTGTCTTTTGGGCACAAAAGCAGATCCAGAAGTTCAGCAATTTACCACCCAATATCTACTTATCAGTCTACAATTATCATGTTCAAGATGGGACTGATGGCAGGGGCCTTGTAAGGGGCCAGACAAGACAAAACAATGTAACTATGAAACATTTACATACAGCTCTCTACGGGAACATAATTGATACTTGCATCTACCTCATATATTAATTATACGGATTAAATGAGTTAATATTTGCAAAACATTTATAATTGTACTATCTAAGTTAATAAGGCAACTTTCAATCAGTTTCCAATGATAGCCACTCATATCTTAAAGACCTACAATGCCTAAAGAAATTACTAGACTTAGAAAAACATTCTAATTATACACTTCTTAAATCTAGGGCTAGAAAGAAAGAAGTCCCAGGTTCATGCAAGCTCCTCATTTCACAGCTGCAAGAAATTAATCAGATAGCTCATCTTTGTAGAAAAGGGTTACAGGTCACAGAAAGCTTTCACAACTAGTATTAAATTTGGTCCTCAAAATTTGGGCGGCAGTGGTGAACTCCTTTAATGCCAGCTCTCGGGATGTAGAGACAGGCGAACCTCTGAGTTTGAGGCCTGCCTGGTCTACAAAGCAAGTTCCAGGACCGCCATGGTTACACAGAGAAACTCTGCCCCAAAAAAATCAAAAAATAGATCCTCACAACAGCTTGTAAGGAATTCAGGACAAGTATAATTAATTCTATATGTAAGAAACCTGAACCAGAGAGGTAGCGCAAGGTCACACAGCATAGGTCTGCACTAGATGCAGGTGTCTGGATGTCCCATTCAGACTTCTTTCCTCTAGGCTGCGACTTGGGCTCCCGGCTTATTGGAGTCATGTATGACTTCAAAATGCTAAAGGAAGCGTCCATAAAGCTGGGGCTATCTATCTATGTATATAGCTCATTGGTAAAGGGTTTGCCCAGTATGCTTGAGGCCCTACATTCAATCTCCAGACAAAGACAGACAGAGAGACAAGAAGAGAAAGATTTTGGCAAATTTTTGGAAACGTGAACTTTAAAAAGTTAAGGCAATTCTATTGAGTAGAATTAGAGATGAAAACACCTATTGAAACCATAATATACCACGATTGATTGCATACACCACACACTAGTCAACACAGATTTTCTGAAGTCTTCTCTCCAAAATACGCCATTCAGAGAGAGATCATCACACTCAAGAGAATATGGGCGTCGGTTTAAGACCGAAAAGACTGCCACTTCCCCTAAACGAAGACCAAAAGGGAAAGAGAGGCTCGCTGGAAAGGAGGGTGAGGACACGAAGCTAATGAGGCTCTCGGGGATAAGGCGCAGGTTACAAACTCCCAGCCACTGGCAAGTCTGAGAGATAAGCTCGCCATCGCCCGGCTGCATCTTCCCAAAGGCTCCGCACCCAGGGCCATGGTAAGAACCCTGCAGCTAAAAGTGAAATCGGACTGGCCGGATCTGCAGAACCCGAAATCATCTCCGCGCGAGGCTGCCTGGCGCATACCGGCCCAGGATGTTATTTTAAGCGCGCGTCCCCGGAGAGCGGCCGGAGCATCTGCCCAAGAGCATCCCACCCGAAATGGGACCAGGAGGCAGAGCAGGGAGGTGCAGCCGGGGAGGGAGGTGCAGCCGGGCACAACCCGCCGGTCCTACGACCACCGGCCCGAGCGCGCGACCCCTCCCCAGGGCGCGGCCCCGCGGCGCGGCGCGTTACCTTGGTGTAGAGCTCGGACGCGGCCATGGCGGACCCAGCGCCGACGCCCCCCGCCTGGGCGGAGGCCGCAGCTCGCGTGGCGGCCGCCCGCGCGGGTGAAGCGGCAGCGGGCGGGGAGCAGGGGAAGGGCCGGGCCGGGCAGGGCGGGCGGAGCCGGCGGGCGGGCCCGGGCGGGGCGGGGCTCGTCAGGCGCTAGCGGCGGGCGGGAGTCTGCCGGTCATCACCCCCGGGCTCGCCGCGTGAGTCCTGCGCGCGTGCTCGGGGGCTCGGGGGAGCAGCCAGGGCCGCCTCTGTCTCCCAGCCGCCTGCTCTCCACAGCCCGTGAGGCCTCCTCGGCAGCCTCGCGTCTTCAGCCGCCTCGCTTCCTCGGTGTCCTAAGCTGTTTCGCCTCCTCAGAGGTCTCCTGAGAGGCCTGGTCTCCGTTGCCTCCTCTGTCTCCTCCGCCGCCCTCGATGCAGCCGATGCAGCCGCCGCCGCCGCCGCCGCCGTCGCCCTATGCATTGTGGGAGCGGGAGGAGGCTGCGCTCGAGCGCGGCCACGGCGACTGCTCCGGGCTCTCTCGGGCTCACGCTGCCTCCCATCGGCGGCGGGCACCGCACATCATCATCAGCCCACGCGACTGACATCCCAAACCTGCCTTGACAGACTCCCCAGTGTCCGCGAACGTGGGACGGTGCAGGAGCGCGACCGGCGCCAGGGGCTGAGCTGGCAGGTGCTGATGAGTGCCCGCGTGGACCCGGAGCCTGAAGGCTGATACCCCCGGTCCCATTTCTAGGGAAAGACTTAGGATAGGCAAGGGTTCGGGCAAGGCCTCTCCATAACGTGCAACTCCAGAGGAACCTTGTTCACTGCCAGGCTGGCTGCCTTGCACCACCCGGAATCTGGGTTGAAGGATGCCCAGGGTCACTCTGAACTTGGCTTTTCAGCAGGGTCGCTTGGTGATGCAAGAGCATAGGGTGGGCTCTAACACCCAGAAACTCTTATGAGCCCGAAAGCAAGATGGCCCTGGGGAACGACCACCTTACACCTGTATGTTTGCATGGGTTCGCCGACCTTTCAGAACAAGAACTCCTTCGCTCTGCTGAGCTCTTAGGCTCCGTGGTACTACCTGATGCTGATGCTGATCCTGAAGTCCTGGCAAAGGCAACCAAGAGAAACTCATCTACACGGTGCCCTTAGACAAAGACAGGAATGTGGTCCTTTCATCCCAACCTCCCATGTTCTCTCCGCCCACACGTTCACTTGGAATAATCTTTTCAAATCCCAACTCTTTTAGGTGCTTGTCTTTCTCATTTCTTTAAACTGTTATGGGAAACTGGGACCAAATTTAGTTTGGTTCGTTGGTTTTTGAGGCATGTCTCACCAAGTGGTCCACGCTGGCTTCAAACTCTCCATCCTCCTGCCTCTGTTTTGCAAGCCTGACACTTTAGAGGTGTGATTCTTAGCCCAGTCCAGTCAAGGTCAATGCACAAGGCTGGTTCCCTGGTTGTGTCTGGGCTTGGGGAATGACTATTTGAAAGTAGACTATTCACTAAAGGGAAGACAGAGGGAGTCTTCTGTTTCTAAAACTCAGCCCTCTTTCCCATTTGCTCAGTATCCCACAGTATCTTTAGAATGCCACAGAGAATGGCTACACGTTCCTGCACTGAAATCATGTCACTTTGATGTTTCTGGATTCCATTCTTTTGTTGTCCAGCTGTGAAAAAAGACAAAATGCACCTTTGACAAGAACATTCAAAGTATACAGTTGAGATTTGGGAGACTTGGTTCCTATCTCTTATATACTTCCTTCATGCCTATACAAGGTGCCTGTTTTCTTACTTTCCAGATAATACCTGCCTGTCAGAGCTGTTGAGAAATCCGGAGTGTGGTTGAGGAAAACAAAACACCCAAAATAAAACCTTGAGAGCGCTTATAAAAGTGATTTTTTACATGAACAAAAAGCGAATTGGAGTGATACTTTTCAAACGCATGTATTCAACCACCCAGATGTTTGAGGCCATAATAAGAGAACAGGGAGATGAGGAATAGGTTTTCTTTTTTGGCAGTGATGAGGATAAAGTCTGTAGCTGGGGCTCACCTGGAACCATCTTACCTCTCCCTCCTGAGTACTGGGTGTGCTGGAATTACAGATGCACACCACCATATACTGTTGGGAAATGGGTTTCTGACCACTAACCTCTTGCTTCATTCAGGAAAATAATGGACTAAACAAAACACACACACAACCTGCAATGCAATGGGCATTCTGATGGATGGACTCTTGTATCTTATGCATATATATATGTATGTATGTATATGTCATTAGTAAGGTCTGAAAACCAGAAGTAGGGTTCACACTCCAGAAGTAGGCATAAGGCATTGTATATTTTACTGTAAATTGATAAAATCTTCAGCTATTGTCTTTTAAGTTAACATTTTCTTGTGGACTGTTTTCAAATGAAAACACTGTTCAGGTTTAAATGAAAAACAAACAAAAGCAAAGCCTTTCTTCCAAAGTTCAGGTGCCCCTTGACTTTCTCTTCTTAACTTAAATGAATCACATCCTAACAAACCCATTATCGATTAGAAACACTGTTAATTTGGGGTTTTTATCTTTTGAAATTTTTTTCTTTTTTTATTTTTAAGTTTAAATTTAGATTAGAAACAAGGTTGCTTCACAAGTCAGTTCCAGGTCCCTCTACATTTCCCTCCCCACCTCCCATGTCCTCCCCTCAACCCCCCCATTATCCCCTCATTTCACCAGGGAGGGTGAGGCCCTCCATGGGGGTGTCCATAGTCTGTCATTTCATCCAGGGTAGGGCCTAGACCCTCCCCCAAGAGTTCAGTGTGAGAGTGCATCTCACATTGTTGGATGGGAGTCCAAAGTCCAGATGAATACTGATCTACTACCCAAGACCCAATAGATTACCTCGGCCTCCTCACTGATACCCACATTCAGGGGGTCTTGATCAGTCCCATGCTGGATTCCCAGGCATCAGTCTGTGATTCAAGAGCTAAACCTTGTCAGGTCAGCTATTTTGGGGGGTTAAACCAACCCAGTCTTAACCCCTCTGGTCATCAGTCCTCCCTGTTACTGGCTTTCTTGAGTTCAGCTCAGTGCTTAGCCGTGGGAGTCTGCCTCTTCTTCCATCAGCCACTGAATGAAGGTTCTGTTTCCCAGACTCTCTGGCCATGGATTATAGGCTGGCACTCCCCAGATCCATGTCTAAAATCCATATATGAGAGAGTACATGCCATGTTTCTCTTTTTGTGACTGGGTTACCTCGCCAGGATGGATTCTTCTAGTGTCATCCATTTGCCTGCAAATCTCAGGATTCCATTGTTTCTTTCTGCTGAATAGTACTCCATTGTGTAAATGTACCACATTTTCTCTATCCACTCTTTGGTTGACACTGTTAATTTGAAGTACACATAATGCACCTAACCTTCTGAACAGTGGCATCATAGCTTAGCCTCACCTATCTTGAACCTGCTCAGAGCACTTAAATTAGCCTATTGTTGGGCAAAGTCATCTAACACAAAGTACAGCTAATGATAGTGGTGAATATCTTAGGTAATTTATTGCATACTTGTCAAAGAATGTTGGCAACTGTAGTGTAGGTATCAGTCATTTACTCTGGGGATAGTATGGCTGACTGGGAGCTACAACTTACATCTGCTCAGAAACATAAAGCAGTATCTTTCTGAATGTAACTAGGTCAAAAAAGAATAAAATTCAAAATTTCAGGGTGAGAGAGATGGCTCAGTGATTAAGAGCATTGGCTGCTAACTCAATTTAATACCCAGCACCTACATGTTGGCTCATGACTGTGTATGACTCATGTTCTAACATCTCCTTCTGGCCTCCATGGGTACCAGGCACTCAGGCATACATGCAGGTTAAACACACAGACACATAAAATAACTTAAGTATAAAAAGGTTTTCAAAAGTTCAGGACTGGGGTTGTAGCAAGTTTTACAGCACTTGCCTAGCGTATATGAGGCCCTGGGTTCCACTCCAATAGCACCAAAAAGAGGGATTCAGAGAGAGAGAGAGAAGGAATACATTGTGCATGGAATATGTGCCACTTTCATACCAATGTAAAATCAAAAGATTGTAAATTGAACTATTCCAAGTCAAGGACTGTAGAAGGACTTTTCTTTCCCATCCTCCAGTTACCAAATAACCAACATGGAGACTCAATGCTTGACCAATAGCTAAGGCTTGTTATTAACTAGCTCTTTCATTTAAATTAACCCATATTTCTTATGTATGCTTTGCTGCATAGCTTGGTACCTTTTCTCAGTATGGCATGTCCATCTTGCTTTTCTCTGCATCTGTCATGACTCCAGATTCCACCTTCTCCTTTCCAGCATTCTCAGTTTGACTCTCCCACCTAACCTTCTCTTGTCCAGTTATTGACCAGTCAGCTTCTTCATTAAGCCAATTATAACAATGTATATTCACACAGTGTAAGGAACATTCCACAAGGGATCGTATGTATGTGTATGTATGTATGTATTCATGAATGCTACTTTTATCAATGACTGTTGGGAGCTACAATGTGCCAGACATTATTCTACATGTCCAGGATTGGCCGATTGGCATAAAAACTCTATGACTTCATGGGCTTTCTCTTGCTAGGAAGACAAATAGAAAGTTAGGAGGTACTAAGTATATGTATTCATTTGCTAGAGTAATATAAATGCTACAAAGTATGCTTCAACAATGGAAATGTATCATCTCAGCTCTGGAACTGGAAATCCCAGAACAAGGTCTCAGCATGTGGGTCCTTCTCAGGACTGTAAGGGACAGTGTGCCCCATGCCTTTCTTCCGACTTCTGGTGTTTTGTTCAGAAACTTTTTTTTTCCTTTTTCTGTTTTTAGACTCAGAGTCTCTTTATATAACAAGGCTGACCTGGAACTCATCCTTGTACCTCAGCCTCCCAGTGCTGGGATTACAAGAGTGTGCCACTGCAATGGACTTTTTCATATCTTGACATTGATATAATATCCCATCTTTGTCTTCATCTTCATTCGGGCATTCTATAGAGTGTACGCATCTCTATCTTCAAATGTCCCCTTTTTACAAGGACACTGGAATATTGAATTGAATACTACTTCATGACTTCAGCTCAGTTTGATTGCCTGCAAAA